CTTACAGGACTTCGTAATCTAGGGAACACTTGCTACATGAATTCCATATTACAGTGTCTGTGCAACGCACCGCACCTGGCCGATTATTTTAACAGAAACTTGTATCAAGATGATATTAACAGGTAATAATCTCTTATTCTCCTCTTTTAATTTATAACTGAAGGAAAAAAACTACCTTTACTATATTGTTAATTCCAAAAAATCACTCAGTTGGGTTAAGGGAGACATTGTTTCTTAAGTAGGAGACAAATGCTAACTTCTAAGTGTCTTGACATTTTCAAAATTTCCTGTGACAAAATAGGTTTTACTCAAAAATCTTAATTAAATTGTGCTTGTGATATTTGTAAGTATCGGTGTACTAGAGTGTCCTAAACCAAACAGAGTGTTTAAATAGCAGTTTACAAATAAGCTGGAAACAGCTGTACCTTCTGTCAGTCCAGACTGGGAAATGGAACCCAGTTACAGTGCCAAAGTAGACAAAAATTTTAACTTAGTCTGTTAGTCAGTTTTTCTTGGTCTAAATAAATTACTTTGACATTGGGATAATGTCTTGAATAGCAATAGTTTGTTGGTTTTTTTTTAAAGTTACTTGAATGGCTCACTTTTTTTTTTTTTATCTATTTAACTGTCTAGGTCAAATTTCCTGGGGCACAAAGGTGAAGTGGCTGAAGAGTTTGGTGTAATAATGAAAGCTTTATGGACAGGACAGTATAAATATATCAGTCCAAAAGACTTTAAAATTACAATTGGGAAGATTAATGACCAATTTGCAGGATATAGCCAACAGGACTCCCAAGAATTGCTTCTCTTTCTAATGGATGGGTTGCATGAAGACCTAAATAAAGTAAGCAATACGCTTGTAACGAATTATACATCTGTCAAATGATCAAGAGAAATAAATTGTACAAAGATGCTTATATTTCATAAGAGGATTAACATTACTGGAACCTTGTGTAGAAGGAATTCAAGAATTAAAGTAGGAATTTAGTTTGAAATGTATGAAGTACTGAAGGAAGTAATGGAAGAAGCCTAACTAGATAAGAAATGGATGGCTACACTGACAGATTCTAAATATTCTTGCAAATATTCAATAGTGTGCTTGCCAGTAGATGAGAGTTTCTATTTTTATATATGTTAATATATGGCTATGCTATTTAAACTTCCGTTATCCAGGCTGACAACAGGAAAAGATACAAGGAAGAAAACAACGATCATCTTGATGACTTCAGAGCAGCAGAACTCGCCTGGCACAAACACAAGCAGCTCAACGAGTCCATTATTGTGGCGCTCTTCCAAGGCCAGTTCAAGTCCACAGTGCAGTGTCTCACCTGTCACAAGAAGTCCCGCACCTTTGAGGCTTTCATGTATTTGTCGTTACCGCTTGCGTCCAGTAGCAAATGTACCCTGCAGGTAAGGCTGGCCTTGGCTACACTGACAGATTCTAAATATTCTTGGAAATATTCAATAGTATGCTTGCCAGTAGATGAGATTTTCTATTTTTGTATATGTTAATATATGGCTATGCTATTTAAACTTCCGTTATCCAGGCTGACAACAGGAAAAGATACAAGGAAGAAAACAACGATCATCTTGATGACTTCAGAGCAGCAGAACTCGCCTGGCACAAACACAAGCAGCTCAACGAGTCCATTATTGTGGCGCTCTTCCAAGGCCAGTTCAAGTCCACAGTGCAGTGTCTCACCTGTCACAAGAAGTCCCGCACCTTTGAGGCTTTCATGTATTTGTCGTTACCGCTTGCGTCCAGTAGCAAATGTACCCTGCAGGTAAGGCTGGCCTGGGGGGGACAGCTCTGCAAGTAACAGCATCTCTCTTCTTTCTCTTCTGCTCAGCCTCTTGCTGAAGGCGTTGGTCAATATCCCAGCTTAGTTTACACTAACCTGAAACGTCTGGGGGGGACAGCTCTGCAAGTAACAGCATTTCTCTGGGACTTCACCATCGTGTTGCTTCTGCTCAGCCTCTTGCTGAAGGCATTAGTCAATATCCCAGCTTAGTTCACACTAACCTGAGACACGAACAGATCTGAGCCTTCATTATTTCTTAGTTCTTCTAAAGTTTAAAAAGAATAGGTCATTCCTTGGAAGTTTTAAAATACAAGCAGGATGGAAATATTTAAGTTGCAGTAGCAGAAAAGACATGTATAGTATTTGTTTTTGGAGGTCATAGCTTTTAAACAAAATATTGTAGGTATTTTGAAAGACTTGCAGTTAGTTAATATACACAGTAAAATGTACTTCCACACATGGATTTAAATCACTTTTCGTCATCTTTGTGAAACAGCACACAGAAAATTGATGCAGGTTAACAACCAAATAGGAAATAAATACTTTTGCTACACTTCCGTAAACACCTGCCCTTAAACACCTGTGTTTGTATTTTGTTTCAGGAATGCCTTAGGTTGTTCTCCAAAGAGGAGAAGCTCACTGATAACAATAGATTTTACTGTAGCCATTGCAAAACTCGGAGGGATTCTTTGAAAAAAATAGAAATTTGGAAATTACCACCTGTTCTTCTTGTGCACTTGAAACGGTAAGAGAAATGGTGCTGGGTGAAAATTATTTAGGATGAAGTGACGAGGCTTAGATGGAGATTGATTGTTCCAGGATCTATTTCCGCTTGTAACGTTGCAAGAATTTTATTTTCATTTGATGCCCGTTCTATTAGATGAGGCACTTTTACAAGTAACCTCTTTTCATTTGTGCTAGGAAACACGTGCCAGCATTAACAGAACCGGGGGCCAAATGCTTTAGTTGAGATCACATCTTGGCTAAAAACAGGGGAAACAGACACATTCTTAAATAGCTTGTGAACAACCTGTAACTGATAAAGACGCTTTTTCATTCTCTAGATTTTCCTATGATGGAAGATGGAAGCAAAAGCTTCAAACTTCTGTAGATTTCCCATTGGAAACTCTTGACCTCTCACAGTATGTTATTGGTCCAAAGAACAACCTGAAGCGCTACAATCTGTTCTCAGTGTCAGTAAGTAACCACGTCACGTTCCAAAGTTGAGATGGTCTTTGTGCCAAGACTTGAGTTAGCCTGTGTGATTCATCTCGGCTTCCAGGCTGCCTACCTGGTTGCAGATTAAGTTGTAGTCTAAAAAAGAACATTTGGTATTCACTAAAAATCTCACATTCTAGTTTATTTCCCTAAGAAGGGAAGAAAGGGCAGCTTTTGAGGCCATTAACTCTTTTCCTCTTACGTTTCCAGAATCATTATGGCGGGTTGGATGGAGGGCACTATACAGCCTACTGCAAAAATGCTTCAAAGCAACGCTGGTTTAAGTTTGACGACCATGAAGTATCCGAGATCTCATCATCATCTGTGAAATCCTCAGCTGCATATATTCTCTTTTACACTTCTTATGAACAGCGAGCAGTGGAGATGGCCACATAAAGTAGTATGGGTTAAAAAAAAACTGGTTTTCTTTCAGTAAGAGCAAAGTAGGTATGGGAATGCATATAAATATGCAAAGCTCTGACAAACATAGTCACTTACGGATACGGGGATGGTTGCAGCAGCTTTTCTGCGAGCGAGCTCTTTCTGGTCAGTACTAGTGCTTAAAAATCAGAGGACAGATTAATAATGCTTGTGGTGATACTGCCATCTGTGAAACCATTTAAAAAGCATACCTGCATTACCATTTATTTAAAAAACAATTATTTTTAGTCTGTTACAAAATTAAATTCTAGCTTAGTCATCTGAAATCTATTAACAAGTAGTTTAAAATGTCTTAAAATCCCAAGGCATATCTTGATTTTTATGTTTTTCTTTCACTGTTATGGCCTTTTCACATTTCTAACCTTAAGCTTGATTCTACTGTGAATACTCTAGAATGATGTAAACAGTTAGGAATGTAAGTGTACATATTGATTGCATACTTGCACATCAGAACTATGTATATAATAAAATGTTGTCCTTTTTGTGAGAATCTCTAAAACTCAGAGGATTGCGTTTATTTGCCAGCTCTAGGTAATTGCAACACTACTTAATAAAAAAGCAGAGCTGTATTTTTTTTCTGTTAGCTTTTGTCAATATTTGTGCACTTCAGAGTTATTCTAAACAAACAAGATTTTCCTTTTTAATTTTTTAATATAAATTTTCATGTACACATGCATTAAAAACCTTAATGAAGAAATGATTTAAAAATATATCCTGTTAAATGTATGTCTGGGTGTGCCGTTTTCATTCTCAACTAGCTGTGGAATGGTCAGGATTCTGCGTAATGACAGTCTGAGTAATATTTGCACACTTTAAAAGTTCTTTAGATGAAAAAAAAATACTACTTCATGTACAACTGATTATTTTAGAAACTATTTTAGTTGCATCTTGTACATTTGCCTGCTCTGGAGTTGGGTTAGTTTTCCCTCTCTGATCAGGTTGGCATTCAAAAATTTTAAATCCTGCACTCTGAGCTTTTATCTGTCTCCACACCTGTGTTTTGCTGATAGAATTAAGACCAGGATTGATTGTTTTCCAGATGTTTACAAGCTGCAAATGAATTTGCAGTGCTAGAGGGACAAAAATGACAGTACTAGTATAATGCCTTTTTTTTTTCTTCAATACGAATGGTCACTTCTTCCCCTGCTCTCATCTCCCTGCTCTGCTCGTGTCCTTGCGCCTTAGGATCCTACTGCCATTTTCTGAAAGGCAGCTTAAAACACAGTATATTTAACCAACAAAGAAACAAGAATTGGGAGGTAAGTGCATGTATATGCTCAGCACTTGTGTTCTCTTGAGGGATGTATGAGGTTTCTTATGGAAAACCACCATTAGACCTTGTACAAATGGAGCGGATGCGCGTCCCTGGAGAGGCTCAGAAGCTGTAACGCTTCTTTCAGGCAGTAATTCCTGGAGAGACTGCAACAGACGACCAGGTAATGCAAATGTTCTAGTTTATTGATGAAAGAGGATGTGGCCGATGTTGCTAATAAACTTTCATTGCTGTCTTACTGTTCATTTTCCATAGCTATCAGATTTCTAATGGGTGCAGGGAAGGCCTTGGCAGGTGTAGAACAGGAGATAAGCTGTGTCACTCTGCACTAAGGAGTCTGGGATCTCGGTGACGTGATCATCATCAAACCTGTACCAGCTTTTGGTGACCGAGTGCTCGCAGAACGCCGTGTAGTGGCCATCATCCAGAAAACCAGAGTGGTTCTGTAACAAACGACACAGTCTGTTAAAACAGAAGGCTCACTCTTTCTCCTCACAGGCAAAGCTAGGACTTGGCAATCATTTCTTGTTTGCTGTGACAGAAGATTCTATCCCGTTAGCCTACAATGAAGAATATTAATTCAAATAAATGCTTTAAAACAGAGCAAACAGATGATAATTATGCTTCTCTACTTCGCAATGTAATTTTGCAGCCCAGCTATTAGCCCTGATACAGGTCACCATGAGCAGGTCCCACTTGCAGTGAGTGATTGTGAGAACCTGACAGAAAAGAGGATCTCTCAAAGCTCACTTGCTGCAAGATATGGATAAAGAGACTGTGTGGTCCTTATTTAGAGAGGGGACCGATGCAGGATCAGCTCGTGTGTTTCTGCTGAAAAGGCTCCCACCAGGCATTACGTGCCAGGAGTGCTTGATTTTTAACATTGGGATGTGGTAAGAAGGAGAGAGAAGTGGTGACAGCTCTTCTCCGGTTACAAACTGTCACTGCATTATGTCCGTGGCAGGGAAAAAAAAAAAAAGGATGAAACCTATATATAAAATATAAAGTCCAAGGTATGGTGGGGTTCCTGGGCTCCATGAGGCAGGGCTTTACAAATGGCAGCAGGGAAGGCAAAGCTCACCACGACAGCGCAGAGGCGGTACTCTGCGTCCCTGCGGCCGGGCCGGGCCATGTAAGGAGAGAGGTCCAGGTTGCTGAGTGGATAGCAGATGGTGGTTGAGAGCTTCCCTTTGTGTTTGTCTTGCCATTCAAACCTGAAATAAAACATTGAACTATTTTAAGTAACAGCCAACTTCTTTCTTCCTGATCCTTCTGTCTATTAGAAATGGCAGAAGTCAAATCTCTGCATTGCAGTCACTGTATCCCAGATGGTTTGGACTGTGCTGTTCCCAGTTATTATTTCATGCCAGGCTCCATCCCCCTTTCCTCTGTAACTTTTAGTACAACATGATACTTTTAAACTTGTCTAAGGTGTCCAAGGGCTGCAGCTGGACCACAAGTTCCTTTGAGTGTGTCAAGGAAAGCAGGCACTGAATGGGAAATTGAATAATAACTGTATGTTACATAGTTCTGGGAAGCCAAATCATCCCAGAGGAATTTTCTTCATTGGTAGAAAGTTGTTAAGAATAAATTCTTAAGAATAAATGTGGCATCTGGCCACAGGTGGTGGCTAGTAGAAGCCTGCTAGTTGGGAGCTCTTAAGGCGGATGCACTGCTCTGTGTGGTAGACCCAGTTGCTTAGACCCGATTTAGTTCCAGCATAAACAGAACCACAGTGTCTCAGCTGCAATAACGAGAAGCAAAACGCCCCGTCTGAGTCCTGTGCTGACAGCCCCAGTCACACACTCTCCCACTTGCCACAGGGACTGGTATTCACGGGGGTGCCTGACCCTGTGACCCGCTGCAGGATCTGCAGTCGCTCTCTGCTCGGGGGAGTTTTTGTTCCCTTTGGAGAAGAGATCCCAAATGCAGTGAGCGAAATGTGGCAGTTGGAGCATGGAGTGAGGCAGAACCTTGTTGGGGATTTCAGGAACGCAGCTTGTGTGTTTGACAGGTGTATTTCTGTAACTGCCCATTTAGCTTCCAGGTATCAAAAGTAATAAACCACCCATTTGCCCTGATTTTTTTCCTGTGACTGTCCTTTATGTCTCACAAATCCCAGGAAACGGCCGTGTCCTACCCCATACAGACCCTACCTCTTTAGGTGAAAAATAATGATCTGCGGTGCCTTGGTAAGAGTGGCCTTTACCACAGCATCTTGTTTCGTTCCACACCACGAACAGTGGATTTGGTTGTTCCAAGTCAGTGTATCTTGCTGAAAGAAGCATTTGAGACAGTCCTGTCAAAGGAAGAAAAAAAATAATAATTTGATCAAAGAGATCTCCATCCTTGGAGATCCTGAGCAAGGCAAGAGAAGGGTTTGCTGTATTTTGGAACTCTCTTCCTACCGGAAGCGTGAGGTAGCAAGGCTGACATGAACACACCTGGAACAGAAAGCAGCCACCACTGGCTTCCTTTCCCCCACAACCCCACCCCAAAAAATGAGAAAAGACGAGTGAAAGAAACCCTCCTGGGGTTGAAACCCCTCCTGGGTTGAAAAATCTTAATATCCCTCGTGCCACGGCCACTCAGGAACATTGCTCCCATGACCATACCAGCCTCTGTGGTCCAGAGAGCAGCACAGAGACCTCACTTCTCTTAGGGCCAGCTCAAAGACTACCCATTAGTGCCCAGGAAACCAAAGCAACTAAAAACCTGCATCTTTTTTTAATAAAAACATGCATTTTTACGTGTCTAAGCCACCTATTCCCACATGGAGCAGAGACCAGCAGGAATGTATGAGGAGTCGTACCCCCAGAGAGCACACGCTCTTAGAAGGGACAGGCAGGGACAGAACGGTGAAGCTCTCGGGTCTCTCGGTGGTGGTCTTGCACTCCAGACACGTGATCTCGTAACTGAGCTGGCCCTCAAATAACTGTGTGATGATTGATGTTTCACTGACACTCTCTCTGCTCGCTTTTGCATCCGTTATGCACCTCCTTTCGCTTGACTATACAGAAGGAAAAAAAAAATATAATTAACAAAACGTAGGTAACCAGCTGTTTCTGAAGTGCCTTCACTGGGCTTTAATGGTGGCTGCCCACTGCCTGTGTAGGCTACTCATTATTGTCACAGAACTTGGCTCTAAAACGCTATTCCCTGATGTTTCATACATGCAGAATAAGCTTAATTTCTCTCAGAAAAGGAATTTAACAGAAATATAATATTCGGGACGTTAGACGGGAGTGATTGGATTGCTAGACAAGCTCTTTGTCAGTGGAACTGGAGAAGGGCAGACGTGGGGGGATGGCAGACATGACGATTTCAGGCAAGTGAAAAAGGGGAAGAAACAAGGAGAGGGAGAGGAGGGTAATGGAGCTGCAATCAGCATTGTCCTTTAGATGGGGGCTGCAATTTGATGGAGCATTAGACAAGAAGCAAATGAATTATTGTGTGTCCGTGGGCATGAAACAAAGAAAGTGACAATTTTTAGCAGCTGCATCATGCAGGTCAGGAGAGAAGGATGGGCAGTTACTGCAGGGAATCCTAAATGGTGGGATGCAAAAAGGAAACAGCTACGGTCCCCAAGATCCACAGCTGGGCTCTTACCTTGAGAGCCTCGTGGAGCTCGTTCAGCACACAGATCAGGAACTCCTGGGCGTCCTGCTGAGTCGCCCTCCTGAACGCTGGGTACCGCCTCTCCAGGACCGAGTGAAAAACCTCCGGGGAAACGGTGTCAAACTCTCCAAACCACATGTTGGACATCAAGCAGCCAAAGGCAATCGCAGACTGGCCAATCTCCCTTGGGAAAAATAAACAAGTTTCAGGTAAAGCATGAAAAGCTGGTGGTTCTACCTTCAAATGGGAGCATAATACATAAATTTAGAAAACATCCACAGATAGAATACAGCTCTGACAGCCTGGCATTTGGTTTGAGGGACTATGCAGACACTAGGAAGTAGTAGGAACCGTCCAGACAGCAATGATAGCAACCAGTATTGCCACCAAAATGACAAAAAAAGTGTGATGCTGAAGTTACCCAGCAAGGAAAAATGACTCGGTGCCTCAGAGGAAGGAGACAGAAAGCAGTGTGTGGCCAGTGTGGCTGTAACTGCCTGGAGGGGAGCTGGCAGGTGGCTGCCTCAGATGTTCTCATGGCAACGAGTATCCATTGGAAGGACAACGGCGGTGCCAGGCAATGCAGGTCGTGTGGGGAAACCAACTCACTTGCGTTGGGCTGTTTTGTGCTTTCCCGAGAGGAAATACTCCATGAGCTGGGGCAGGCTGCAGAGACACTGCAAGATGGCGTTCATGTAGCACGTGTTGCCCAGATTCCTCAGGCCGGTGAGCCCTGGGCACCGGCTCCGTGTCTCCTCCATCGGTGCCCTGCAGGAGTTCTTCACACCTTCCGAGCAAATGCAGCCATACTTACACTTACTAGAAAACAAACAAACAAAAAAAACCACCACAGTGACAATCTAAAATGGTACTGTGCCCTTTGTATTACAGTTTTAAAAGTGTTACTGTCTTGAAGAGACGTTTCCTGCTGTTTGAGGATCTGCTTTGTAAGTCACGGTCACATTTACTTTCATGGAGCTAATACAGAGGTAAAGACTCTCAGCCTCCCACACTGAGCTCTTCCCAAAATGGTGATACACGTCATTAAGAGGTATTATTTAAATACCTGAGGTTTTAGAGTTATTTCTAAAATTCTACTTAGTCTTTGACTCCATAGGCAATTACTCGAAAAACATAGCCAGCTGTGAATAGCCTCCTTCAGCATTTCTCCCTACAGAATGCAGATTGTATTTCACTTCCTCAGTGCTCTGGAACTTATGCATTTCCTAAGCCCAGAGCCTGCAGTGTAGCTGCCGCTATAGAGGTTGCTCTGAAGACTTTTTCTGTAAAATGTTACTTCATTCGCATTAAGAAAATTTTAGTAGGTTTGGGTTTTGCTGCACAAGTCCGTCCTGGACTGAACTGTCCCCATCCCCAATTAGGCAGAAGGAAGGTCCGAAGACAGACCCTGCCCAACGCAGATGTCCTCATTGGTGTTGAATTTTGGAAGGCCGTTATTTTATTCCGGTGCAGAAGGAGGGAAAACTCTGAAACCTCAACTATCTTTGTAGAACAAGAAAAGCCATTTATTTCCCTTCAGCTCAACACCACCTGCCCAAGCTCCCGTGTCTGGCCAACTGCCATTTTCTGTCATCTGATAGCTACAGCACAACTGCAAATATGTTTCCTTCTAAATTTCAGTAAGAGTAGAGCCAACATTTCCAAACAGCTCTACCTATAGACCCGTCTCCTATGAAAATGCTTAATTCCATCCTTTACAGCCATCTCCAAGAAACGCCGACTCCGAGGAGAGAGCGCGTTGGGTCGGTGGGACACAGACGGCCGGGAAGGCACCGGCCTGTGCTCGCCCCACCTCAGGGGAGCTGTCTCTTGCCTGCTGCTCTTCGTACCATCACCTCTCCCGTTGGGCTTCATGGTGCGACTGGTCCCACGTGTCCCATCCTCTCCCGTCCCCCAGTTCCCCTCGTGGCATTGTGACGCTGTTCTGTTCTGTTGGTCTTCTCCAGGGGAACACACAGGCCTGGCCCGACCTCCCTCCCTCCCCTTCCTACACCCAAAACAGCCTCAGGAGAGGATGGGACCTGCCCCTTCCACTGGGCAGGAAGCTTCAGCCTGACCCACCTTTATCCATGTTTGCTCCCACCTGTGTCAGTGGTTATTATTGCCGTCTCCGAGGGGAGGGCAGCGACGACTGAGGGTGGTGGCTATAAATGGGTACAATCACCCCAAAAACATCACGCTGAATTAGTTCACTGGTGTTCAGAAAATTTTCCTGGGGGAAAAAAGTTAGTGGGCAGAGAATGTCTTTTAATTAGCTAATGAGACAGCATAGTTGATTTCTGAATTTCTTACACCACTGAGGAGCAGCAGCTTTTCCCTATTTAACGTACAATTTGGGAAGTAAGGAGTATCCACAGAAGAGCCCCAGGAAGGCAGTGCAAAAATCCCTGAGTATCTTATTGTTAAGTTTCAAGGGAAGGGTGTCTCCCAGCGCTCTCTGGACAGTTCACCTGCTGTCCCGGCCACTTCCCTCCCAAACTGTCTGTCTGCAAACTGAGACACAAAAGCAACACACACTCCTCACAATCTGATCTACGACTATTCTGCAAACAGAACTGTAACACTGTACACACTTCACCAAGAGTGTCAAACGTTTGTTTTAAAATCTAAATTGTAATCCCATGGGTCAAACCTAAAAATTTTAACAAATCCGTACAAATGCCTGAGTATGTACCACGATGTAAGTTCACAGGGTTGTTTTTTTTTTCCACCTTGAAGTATTTAATTGGGTTTTCTTGTCAAATCTCAACTAGCTAGGAATCCAATCCTGCCTCTTTCTGCAAAATAATATTCAGTTCAAATATGGAGAACAGGAGGCTGAGCTGCAATGCATTTCCCACCCTGGGGCTCGACTGTTTGTGCCCGGGTGGGGGGCACTTTGTCAAAGGGCTACAGGCAAAACGCAGGGACAAGCACGTGTTGCAGGTTCCTCAGAAGGCTGTGGAGCTGTGGCAGTCCCTAGTTTTGCTCTGGATAACTGAAATACAGCAGACACTGCCACTCACTCGGGCTCTTACCTCTGTGCAGGTTCAGCTCCAAGCCTGCAATACATCTACTGTCTGTACAAAAGCACAGGAGTTTTGCTGGAAGTTCTCTGAAAGCCTGTTATGATGGAGCCTCCACTCTCCTTTCTGTGATTCCAAGGCCCCTTGGCTTGTTCCTGCAGCTCTTCGGGGGGAAAACAAGTACGAATGAACTTCTAATAATGTACACTAATACAGAAATAAAATTCCAATGGGAATTAGGGCAGTTGCAACATCGGAGTACATATCAAGACAAGAACAGCAAGGAATTAATTTTACTTTATTGGAATTTAGCCATTTAGATAAATTGTATTCAATGGGACTACTCTCCATATTTTCCTGATTTTATCTTTTGTTTGACAAAAACAGTCATAGTAAGTATCCTTGTTTGGAATACAGGGTACACAGGTTATTATCTTAACACAATCAGTCTGCTTCTACAAACCAACTTACCTTTCCCTTGCCACCACACCTCTCCAGTGCCCTCCCTGAAGGATGCTCACATTTAAGATTTTCTTCTGCTAGTGTGAAGGAGAAGATAACTTGTGAAAGTTGCAATTTCCCTCCCTTTCCCCTCAATGTAGACATAGGCTTCTCACACAATTTGGGCTGTAGGTCTCCCAGAGTAAGCTAGTACCCACGCCAGGAAGACACACATAGATGTGCCCAGCGTTAACCACCCCACGTCTCACCTACATTCCCCACCCCTGACTGTCCCCTTTGGCTTTGGAAGGGCTTCGGGCCCTCCTCACTGCAGCAGGGAGCAGGGGAACACCCCCCACCACCACACACATCTGTTCACTTTGCTGAGAAACGAGTCACAGGCAAAGCTTCTGAAGAGAGGTATCAAGGTTGTAAAAATCAGCTGTGCATTGTTAGGAATTTGTCAGGAAACAAGAAGTTTCCTAACTTTTACTTACAATTTTCCCCAGTTTTCCTATTTCATACACTGAATTCGGTCACATTTTCACAACACCTGAGGCTCCTCCAAATCCTCCTCAATTTGCAGAGCCAGCTGCACTTACAGATTAACTCTTGCTGTTACTTGGCTAAGAATATAGCATTAAAAATGTGCAAGTACATCTCGAGTAACTGCCCGCTACCACACAGTGCCAGAAGGGGATGCAGTCAGGCATCCATGAAGCAGCTCCTAAATAAAAACAAACATTGTAAAGAGCTTTAAGATATTTTTGTCTCATTTACCCACTGACCCCATCACATATATTTGTCTACTTTAAGTTTTCACTCCCCACCCCCCAGTTTCTGGTGTTACCCAAAGCTGAGACACCTCAAAGGTGAACAACTGCTTTGATTCAGCACAGAAAATTCTACTTTTCTGCATAAGAAGTTACTTAAATTCACCCAAATAACCTTTCAGACTAAGATGGACAGCAGAATTCTGTAAACAAGAATAAATTTATTTTAGATTCTTTAAAGATTTAATGATATACAAAATGTATACAGTATTATATCCTTATAACATTTTACCTTTCCCCGTCAAACATAAAACACCATTTAAACAGCTATTGTGTTCGTGCCTTAGGTCTGTATCTATAAGATACACTACTGAATAAAAAATTTATAGAGCTATATACTGCCCTTTTAATTAAAAATTACAAATTAGTACCTATGTAACAAAAAAATCGCAGCATGAAACTTCAGTTGGACAACAGTTTTTTCTTGCTGAATGCTCAACAATATTTGGGACAGTTAAATTACATTTTATTGGCATGAAGGTGCATTGCAATCTCCCGTACTTTACATAATGCTAATCCAACCCTAGTCTCTCTTAAATAAGTACCACAAATAACATAACATTAAAGATGGTATCTACACAATTTTAAATACATTTAAAAGTTATGTGTACATTCGGTTTTGATATACTGGTTTTACAAGATCTTTGGAAGGCATAACTTCTGAAGCAGTCACTATGTACGAGGAAAAGCACTTCCAACTTGTGTTCTTACAAGGCAACTTATTCGGACCAGTACATACTATTTCTTCTATTAAATATGATTATACCAGTCTATCATGGCTTTGTTACTATTTGACGGTGACTTCATAAAATTGAAATGTATAAAACAAGAAATTCATTATGCACAATTAGGGTTCTATTCCACAAAAAAAACCAACAAAAAAACAACCCAGCTTTACAGCCATGAAGCTGAATCCTGATTCAGGAGACACTCCCTCTACTGGAACAGGTCAAGTTCCCTACCTTCAACCTCAGCCTACTGGCATTATTTATACACCTCATTTGGCTCTGTCCTCTTCAAAAGGCCAGATCTGGTGAGAAAAGATTAGTGAACACTTCCAAAAACGCTCCAAGAATGCTCCGGCATTACAGAGGTAGGTGCTTTCTCCTGTCTCTTGCTGATTGACAGTAAGACAGCTGCCAAACAGACAATGCTTCACCTTAAAACATCAACTACCAACATCCTTTTGGTTGAAGGCATATTGCACACCACAGGACTACAGAGAGAAAATCCTCCACTAAACCAAAATAAAATAAAAAATAAACCTTCTGCTAAAAAGCCCCTTTAAAAACATATCTTAAATACTTGTCATTATTCAACCTTTAAAGTCACGAGCCGCTAAGCTGTTCTCTGTAGATGGTTATCACAAATTGTTAGGTCCTCAGACACAGACCAGCCAAAATTCCACTTATAGGACAGCAATCCTTGTTTTGACATATCTTTCTTTTAATGAGTGAAGGAAAGATAAGTGACAACTTTGTGACATTCCATGAGGTTTGGCTGAAGCCACTGATTTGGTCACATCATTAGAGCATCAGTCGAATAGAATTAGCTGAATCGGATTCTTTGGTGCAGCTTCCAGGCTGAATTGTCAATTCAGGGGAATCATCCTGAGGAAATATGATCTTGTCTGGTGTGTAATCATTCCTCTTCAGATCTGTACAAACAAAAGGAAGCCATATTGATTACTGTTTCTTGAGCTAGTAGAATCAATGGGACATGAAAGTCTTTCAAAGACTTGGATATGCATATGCACTTATAAAGAAGAATTCCTCAATATGTGCTGTGTCAAAAAAGGATGTTTTTATCATACGTGTAATTGGAAGCCTAAAGCTCTGCTTTAAAAAGTGATGGCAACCTCATAATTATATTATTTATAGACATTATAGTAAGCATTGACTCAACTAGAAATTGGATCCTTCCATGATCTGTTTTGATGTTACCAGGATCTACAACTCAAATTCAAAATAAATGACCTCTCTCTCGATGTGAGAAACAACCTGGAAGAGAAGTGTGAAACAGGCAGGAGTCATGCAAGTTTGTTACTTATTCCCCTTTAACAGCATGACATAACTATTTCATTACGTATCACGCAACATTTCATGACATGAGGGTCTCACAAGAAGAAATACAACAACTCTTACCAGGAAGCTTAAGTTTCCTGCAGCAGGAATTACAGTGATGCTTCGCTCTGAAGTTTTTTATTGCATCCTCTCCCAAATTGGCCGGACCAAACACCATATCATATGACCTTAGAAATAAAGCGCATATAAACATGGGTTGCCTGTGTTCTCTGGTGAAAAATTTGTAGTACTTTTCTTTAACCTTACCTTTTTTCTCCAGCTTTTATCACAGAGGGGTCTGTCAAATTTTCACCAACACCTTCAAACAGCAGATGAAGAAAAAGTCAAATCTGATACATTACATAAAGTCATTAATATTGAAAAGCCTTAGCATCCTTAGTTATGACTTCCCAGCTTCCCCAAGAATAAAAGCAGAGCCCTCCCGCCCCCAACCAAAAACCAACCCAAATGATATATGATACTCTACTCTTACATAAATTG